AAAAGAGGTGGCTTTTAGTCTGGGCATATAATGAAATGATACAAAATTAGGCCATCATTTAAGATATCGAACTCAATGAGCTTAAACAAGTACAAATTTGGAAAAGCATAAAGCAGGTAAAAATGGAATAAGAAGACAGTAGTGAGATGCAAGGAGATAAAAAAAAATCTAAACAAATACTTGAGTAGTGAAAATTGACCATAGGTAGTGGTATGGTGACGGTGTGGTATACTTACTTGCCTGGGACTGGTCCATAAGAATGGTAAGAAGCTTACCAGGAAAACAAGACATGCAGGTAAAAGGAAACTATAATTCATGCTCAGATGCAAAAATGGTCTTTCCACTCATTATATGCATGAGGAGAAAGTACTTGGCCTACCGCAAACCTGTTGTCGTTGAGTAAATTTCAACTCAAAACATAATTGAATTACTCAATAGGTTTTAAAAGTAGCTCTGTGGCACAGTGAGTTAAGCATTGGACTGCTAACTAAAAGGTCAGTGCTTTGAGAATACCAGTTATTCTATGGAAGAAAAATGAAGCAGACTGCTTGCATAAAGATTTGCAGCCTGGAAATCCTATGGAGTAGTTTTACTCTCTTCTTGGGTCAAGTATCAACTCTCACAGAAGCAGCAGTCAAGAAATCAAACAATGTATTGCATTAGGCAAATCTGCTGCACAAGAACTTTGTAAAGTGTTGAAGAGCAAACATATCAGCTTGAGAACTAAGCCTGACTCAAGCCATGCATTTTCAATAACCTCATACGCATGCAAAAGCTGGACAGTGAATAAGGAAGACCATAGAAGAATTGATGCTTCTGAGTTATGGTGTTGGAGGAGAATATTGAAAGTGCCATGGGCTGCCAAAAGAACCAATAGATCCGTTTTGGAAGCAGTGCAGCCAGAGTGCTCCTTGGATGCCAAGATGGCCAAACTTCATCTCATACTTCAGACATATTGTCAGGAGGGACCAGTGGCTGGAGAAGGATATCATGTTTGGTAAGGTGGAGGGTCAGAGAGAAAGAGGAAGACCCCCAGTGAGATGGATTGGCCAAGTGGCAGCATCGATGGACTCAAGCGTGGCAACAGTAGTGAGGTTGGCCCAGGATCGGGCAGTGTTTCGTTCTGCTGTGCATGAGGTTTTTATGGGTCAGTACCAACTTGGTGGCACCTAACAACAACAACATAGGCTCATGATGGAGCCCTGGTGTGGCACTGCAGGCTAATGCACTGGACTGCAAGGTCAGTTTGAAACTGCCAAATTGTTAGTTCAAGCTCACCAGCCGCTCTTCAGAAATCCAATACAGGGTCACTATGGGTCGGAACCGACTCAGTGGCACTTAACAACATCAACAGCATAAGGTCATTATGAGTTGGAATCAACTCAATCTCAATCTGTTTGGTTTACTTTAATCTTTTCAGAAGCAGACTACCATACCTGTCACCTGTGGAGCAGCTGATGGTTTCCAATCTTTCCGTTAGTAGCTGAATGCTTGAACACTTCACCACTAGTGCTCCTTTACCAAGTAATTGTTGTTAGATACCACTGAGTGGCTTCCAACTTGTAGAGAGCCTATGTATAACAGAATGAAACACTGCTTCATCGTGTGTCAATCCCACAATCATTGCTGTTTGAGCACACTGTTGTCTCCAGTGTATCAACTCATCTTCCAGTTTATATGTTGACTCTACTATAGCAAGTATGAACACCTTTGCCAGGGAGCATAGCCAAGTATATGAAATGAAATTTCCCTATTTTCACTTCTAAGGAGCATTCTAGCTGTACTTCTTCAAAGACAGATTAGTTTGTCCTTCTGGCAGTACATATTGTTGTTGCTGTTAGGTGCCATCGAGTCAGTTGTCACTTGGTGACTCTATGCCCAACAGAACGAAACACTGTCTGGTCCTGTGCCATCTTCACCACTGTTTTGTCTGAGTGCATTGCTGCTACCACTGTGTCAATCCATTGTGTTGGGGTCTTCCTCTTTTCTCCTGACCTTCCACTTTACCTAGTATGATGTCCTTCTCTTGGGACTGGATCCTCCTAATAACATGGCCGAACAACGTCTTGACATCCTGGCTTTTAAGTAGCATTCTTGTTGTACTGCTTTTAAGACAGATTTATTTGTTCTTCTGGCAGTCCATGGTGGTTTCATTATTCTTTGCCAACATCATGATTCCAATGCATGAATTCTTCTAGGGTCTTCCTTAGTCGTTGCTCAACTTTCACATGCATATGAGACTATTGAAAAGTACCATGACTTGAGTCATCACACCTTAGTCCTCAATGTGACATCTTTGTATCGGAATACTTTACAGAGGTTTTTAAAAACATATTTTCCTAATGATATATGTAATTTGACTTCATCATTGCTACTTCCATCAGTGTTGATTGTGGATCCAATCAAAATGAAGTCTTTGACAACTTTAATCTTTTCTCCATTTATCCTGATGTGGTTTATTGCTCCAGTTGTGAGGATGTTGTTTATACGATAGTACATGGTATATTCAATATTCTTTGCCAACATCATAATTCAATGCATCAATTCTACTTCAGTATTCATTGGCCAGTTTTTATATGCAGACGAGGCAATTAGAAATACCATGGCTTGGGGTAGGTACACCTTAGTTTTTACACTGACATCTTTGTTTTTGGACACTTAAAAGAGTATTTTTGCAGCCAATTTGTTCAATGCAATATGTCATTTGATTTCTGGACTGCTGTTTCCATGGACCTTTGGTGTAGATCAAAGTAAAATGAAATCCTTGATAAAACTTCAATCTTTTCTTCATTTATCATGTTGTTGCTTGTTGGTCTAGTTGTGATGATTTTTTTTTTTTTTTATGTTGAGGTGGAATTCATACTTAAGGATATAGTCTTTGACCTTCATCTGTAAGTGCTTAAAGTCTTCTTCACTTTCAGCAAGCAATGTTGTATCATTTGCATATTAAAGCTGTTAATGAATCTTCTCACAATCCAGATGCCACATTCTTGGTCATATCGTCCAGTTTCTTAGATTTCCACAGCATACAAGTAGATGGAATAAGTATGGTGAAAAGGCACAACCCTGACACACACCCTTCCTGGTTTTAAATCATGTTGCATCCTTTAGTTCTGTTCCAGTGACTGCCTCTTGAGCTATGTATAGGTTCTTCATGTGCACTAGTAGAGTTTCTGGAATTCCCACTTTTTGCAATGTCACCCATAATTTGTTTTGACCCATACAGTTGAATGCCTTTACATAGTCAATAAAACATAGTTAAACATCTTTTTGGTTTTCTCTACTTTCAGCCAAAATCTATCTGATATCAGCAATAATAACCCTTATTCCACATCCTCTTCTGAATTTGACTTCATTGTCTGCCAGTTTCCCATTTATGTACTGCTGAAATTGATCATTTCCACATTCTGTTGAATTATCTTTCTCTAGAATGGGTATAAATATGGGTCTATTCCAGTCAACTGGCCAGTAGATGTCTTACACATTTTTTGGCATGTAAGAGTAAATATTTCCCAACACTGTATCTATCTGTTGAAGCATCTCAATTTCTAGCCTGTCAGTTCCTGAAGTCTTGTGTTTTGTCAGTGTCTTCAGTGCAGCTTGAATTTCTTTCTTCTGTACCATCAGCTCTTGATCATGTGATTGAACATCAACCAATTCTTTTTGATATGACTGTTTATTCCTTTCATCTTCCTGTGACACTTACTGAGTCATTCAATATCTTGCCCATAGAATTCTTCAATAATGCAAGTTGAGGTCAGAATTTTTTCCTCAGTTCTTTAAGCTTGGGAAATACTGAGTGTATTCTTAACTTTTGGTTTTCCAACTCAGGGTTTTTACATGTTTCATTATAGCACTTTATTTTGTCTTCTGAAGCTGCCCTTTGCAATCTTCTGCTCAACATTTTGATAATTTTGTTTACTTTAGTTACTATACTTTGAAGAGTGAGTTTCAGAGTCTCGTCTGATATCCATTTTGGTCTTTTCTTTCTTTACTGTCCTTTTAGTGACTTTTTGCTTTCTTCATGTATGGTTTCCTGGATGTCATCCCAGAACTCTATACATTCTATTCTTAAGATAGTCTCTAAATTTTGGTGAGGTATATTCGAATATTTACTTCAGCTCTAAGGGGCTTGTTTTAAGTTTCTTCAGCTTTGACTTGAGCTTGCATAGTTCTAGCACTACATAAGAAAGTGTTCTGTTGCTGTTCATAAGGTTTCCACTAGCCAGTTTTTTTGTTTTTGTTTTTAGAAGTAGATATCACCAAATCCTTTTTCCTAGTCTATCTTACTTTGGAAGCTCTGTTGAATCCTGTCCAATGTGGTAACCCTGCTAGTATTTGAAACACGAGTAGTGTAGCTTCCAACATCACAGCAAAATGCAAGCCACCACAGTACAACAAACTGACAGATGAATGATGTTGTTATTAAATGGTGGTTAGCAAATAACAAAGCACTTGTGATCCAGTCAATCAATGCAATTGTTGTTGTTAAGTGCCATCGAGTCAGTTCCAACCCATAGCAACCCTCTATAGGGTTCCCAAGGAGCAGTTGATGGGTTTGAACCACTGACTCTGTGGTTCACAGTTCAGTGCTGATCTTACAATGTAACACCAGAGGACTAATTGCAATAGTCACTTAATAATATTTGATAATAAATTAATGGCACCTGGAACTAGATCCATGGAGAACATATAGAACAGAATTGGAAGAAATATTGTTAGAGCAAAAAGACTATACTAAATTAATGAAGTTTGAAAACCATGCCGGGGAGTTTGGGCAACATGTAGTAAGTTTATTTTAAGGTAATGAGAAACATCCTTTTCATTATATTGTGTTCAAGGGCAGTCAGAAATAGATTTATAGAACAGACCCAAAGGTCAAAAAGAATTAATTACAGCAACAAAGTTCAAGCATTTATGGTTTTATTACAAGTATATTTTATATATGTATATATACATATAAATGTTTTAGAAACCATATTTTTCTCTCTCATTTTCAGCTCCACGAGATTGCATTTCTAACTAGAAACTATTGTCTGACAGAACTGTATCTAAACAATAATGCAATATTTGAGATAGCAGGTATGTCTTAAATTTTCTCTCAGTTGAATTTTTTCAATGAAATAATCTTTAACTAGGAGCTCAGGTAGCGTAGTGATTATGAATCGGGCTACAACCCTTAAGGTCAGCAGTTTGAAACCACCAGCTGCTCCGTGGTAGAAAGATGAGACTTTCTGCTCCCCTAAAGATTTGCAGCCTCAGAAACCCTGTCCAGGGTTGCTATGGGTCGGAATCAACTCAACAGCACTTAACAACAACAATCTTTAACTGTGATATTGTTAATGCTATACAAAGATATGTTTAAACATATCTGCTGAAAATATGTGATAGGAGCTCTACTTTTTAATGTTATTATTTACATTCAATTTAAAAATGTGCCATTAGATTACAGTTCTAATTCAGTATTGTCATGTGATCTATTCAAAATGCAAAATAACCTTTTGAAACAAGATTTGTACCATTCTGTTGCATAGTTGGAGACAAACTACATATTGTAGAATCATATTTCAACAATATTTGGGAGAATTTATAAATATAACAACTAAATAAATAGTTCTGCAAGTTTTTCTGTACATAATTTTACCAGTTAAATTCCTGTTTCCATTCTGAGAAAATTTTGTAACAACAATCTCTAAACTAACACGTTCAAGCCATTTATTGTCATGGATTAAATTGTTGTTGTTGGTTTTGTTGTTGTTAAGTACCATAGAGTCAGTTCTGATTCACAGCGACCCTGTATAAGGTTTCTGAGGAGCGGCTGATGAGTTTGAACTGCCTCCCTTGCAGTTCAAATCAACCTTGCAATGCCACACCAGGACTCTGGATTGAATTGTGTTCCCTCCAAAATATGTGTCAGCTTGGCTGGTTCATGATTTTAAATGGTTTATCATTTATGTAATGGTGCATTGTGGCAATTATGTGATGACCCTCCATGATGTTATCAGTAAAAGGATGTTTGAAGTCCGGTTGGTACTGTGAGCTAATGCAGCAGACTGCAAAATCGATTTGAACTGCAAGGGCGGCAGTTCAAACTCACCATCTGCTCCTTGCTATGGGTTGGAACTGACTTAACAACAGCAATTATGTTTTTAAATGATAATTCAAAATATTATAAATAATCATTTATCCTTTTAATAGCTATAACATATCATTTACTTCTACTATTTAGATAACAATGAAAATGTTAAAAGCCTGTGAAAATGTTTGTTTTGCTTTTTGCAGGACTGCACAATTTGTGTTCTTTGCATATCCTCATGCTACAGCACAATGAACTAACAAACATTGATGCAACAGTGAAGGAGTTAAAGGGAATGCTAAATCTGAAGACCCTAAGTATCAATTTGATCTCTTTTATGTTCATAAATTAGAATCATAATAATGCAAGGATATTTTCAATCTTTTAAGTTGAAAATTAGAAAAGCAAATGTTATATGTAAAATAGATATTCCTGAAAATGAGATTAAATTTATTCTTTTTAAAGGCATGCTTTAAAAAGAAAAATGGGTAGAAAAAGAAATCTACAAAATGATTTGACATGCCAAACAAAAATAACAAAAGATGATTTACATGTTTACATCTGAATTTTTGGTTTTACCTCAAAAGTTCTTTTAAACACACATTAGATGAATCCATTAAATGAAATATCCAGTATAGGCCTTTCTGAAAGGTAGCTATTAACCTCATCTTTAAATATATTATTAGCGTTTGTCAATGACTGGATGTGATATCTATTTCATTCATGGTAGAAAGTTGCTTTTCTGCAGTGATAATAATGTTCTAAAATTGTACTGATGTACATATAATGACATAAATAATACACAGTCTCTACTGTCAACCTTTCCATCACTCGTCTATCAATTTATCATACTGTGGTGACTTTTGTGTTGCTGTGATTCAGGAAGCTATGCCACAGGAATATTAAATAGCAGCTGGGTCACCAAGCATGGACAGGTTTCAAATGAGCTTCCAGACAAGGAAGAAGGAGAATCGAACTACTTCTGAATATTTAGTTACTGTAATCTATATGAATAACAGTGGAACACTGTCAGCATCAGAATATTTGATACTAAAACATGATGAAGAGCACCAAATTATTATCAGAGATAGTGCTGGAAGATGAACCCCTCAGGTTGAAAGGCACTCAAAATGCGACAGGGGATGAGATGCCTCTTCAAAATAGAGTTGACTGTAATGATGCAAACAGAGTAAAGCCCTCAGAACCTTCATTTGCTAATGGGCTACAACTCAAAATGAAGAACATCTTAAACATCCATTAATAATTGGAACATGGAATGTGAGAAGTATGAACCCAGGAAAAGTAAAAATTGTCAAAAATGAAATGGAACACATAAACACTGATATCATAGGCATTAGTGAGCTGAAATGGACTGGCATTGGTCATTCTGAATCTGACAATCACTTGGTTTACTATGCTGGGAATGACAAATTGACATATTACATTAGGCAAATCTGCTGCAGAAGACCTTTATAAAGTGTTGAAGAGCAAAGATATCAGCTTGAGGACTAAGGTGTGCCTGACCCAAGCTATGGTATTTTCAATAATCTCATATGCATGCGAAAGCTGGACAGTGACTAAGGAAGACCATAGAAACATTGATGCTTTTGAGTTATGGTGTTGGAGGAGAATATTGAAAGTGCCATGGATTGCCAAAAGAACAAACAGATCTGCGTTGGAAGAATGACAGCCAGAGTGCTCCTTGGAAGCCAGGATGGCCAAACTTCATCTCTCATACTTCGGACATATTATCAGGAGGGTCCTGTCCCTGGAGAAAGGTATCATGTTTGGTAGAGTTGAGGGTCACAGAAAAAGAGGAAGGCCCCAATGAGATGCATTAGCACAGTGGCAGCAACAATGGGGTCAGGTGTAGGAACAATTGTGAGGTTGGCACTCACAATTATCACTATGAGTTGATAATGACTAGGTGGCACCTAACAACAATAACAATTCTCAGCCTTTGACTGTTAATTGAAAGGTCAGACGTTCAAACTGACTAGCTTCTTCATGGGAAAGAGATGTGGCAATCTGCTTCTGTGAAGATTTACAACTTGGAAACCATAGAGGGAAGTTCTTTTGTCATATAGAGTCACTATGAATAAAAATCAGTTCAACAGCAATGGGTTTACTCTAAATAAGCTGTACAAAAGTACACACATAATACAAGGCAAAAGGTTGAAGGTGTACCAACGTAAAAGGCCTCAGATCAATGAGTAGTTATTCCAAATTTTGTATTTGGACACTTCATTATATAATGTCATGTGACAGAGATATTCCTATCAATTTTCTCTTCATTTCTCAGATTTGAATGAGACAGTAATTTGTATACACAAACTGGGTTTCATAAAGTAAATTCTGAGCAGATCAATATATAGAGAATGTCTTAGTTACCTAGTGCTGCTATAACAGCAATACCATGAGTGAGTGACTTTAACAACCAGAAATGTATTCTCTAACTAGGTTTGCTGTTGTCGTTAGGTGCCACCATGTCAGTTTCAACTCACAGAAAACTTATGCACAACAAAAGGTTTTGTGAAGAAAACACTGCCCAGTCCTGCACCATATACCAATTATTATGTTTGGGCCCATTGTTTCTGCCACTATGTCAATCCATCTTTTTGTTGATCTTTCTCGTTTCTTGTCAAACTCAAAAGCAGTTCGAAACTACAAGTTTGACATCCTTCTCCAGGACTGGTCTATCCTGATAGTAATTTGTATACACAAACTGGTTTTCATAAAGTAAATTCTGAGCAGATCAATATATGTCCAAATACAGTATGTCCAAAATACAAGAGATGAAGTCTCACCATCCTTGCTTGTAAGGTATATTTGGACTGTACTTCTTCTAAGACATATTTGTTTGTTCTTCTGGCAGTCCATGGTACCTTCAATATTCTTTGCCAACACCATAATTCCAATTCATTGATTCTCCTATGGTCTTCCTTATTCATTGTCCAACTTTCACATGCATATGCGGTAATTGAAAGTATCATGGTTTGGGTCAGACATACCTTAGTCCTCAAAGTAACATCTTTGCTTTTGAACACTTTAAAGGAGTCTTTTGTAGCAGATTTGCTTAATGCAATATGTTTGATTTCTTGACTGCTGCTTCCATGAGTGTTGATTGTAGTTCCAAGCAAAATGAAGTCTTTGAGAATTTCAATATTACCTCCATTTATCATAAAGTTATTTACTGGTCCAGTTGAGAGATTTTAATTTTCTTTATATTGAGGCGCAATCCATACTAAAGACTGTAGTTTTTTATTGTCATCAGTATTTCAAGCACTCTTCACTTCTAGAAAGCAGAGTTATATCACCTACATATCACAGGTTGCTAGTGAATCTTCCTATAATCCTGCTCTTCGGAATAATCCAGCTTCTCAGATTATTTGCTAGCATACAGATTGAATAATTATTTTGAAAGGATACAACCCTGATACACAACTTTCTTGATTTTAAACCATTCACTATCCCCTTGCTCTGTTCTGAGGACTGCCTCTTGGTTTATGTTTAGGTTCCTCATGAGCACAATTAAGTGTTCTGGAATACCCATTCATCGCAATGTATACATAGTTTGTTATGATCCACACAGTGGAAAGTGTTTGCATAGTCAATAAAACACAAGTAAATATCTTTCTGGTATTCTTTATTTTCAGCCAAGATCCATCTGACATCAGCAATGATATCCCTTATTTCACATCGTTTATCTGAATCTGGTTTCAGTTTCTGGCAGCTCCCTGTCGACATACTGCTGCATCAAGTTTTATTGTTAAGTGCTTTGGGGTTAGTTCTGACTCACAGGAGCCCAGTGTAGGGTTTCTGAGAATCAGCTGGTGAATTTGGACCACAAGCCTGTTGCTCAGACTGATTTTTCAGTCCAGTGTTTATCCTATATCACCACACCAGGCTAGAAATTCAAATTCAGAGCCCTGGCTCTGGAGAAAGATTTTTGTCTCATTTCAGCATCTGCAGGTCCAGCATTGCATGGAGTTCACTCTGTGACTTGGCATCAGTCTTCCTCTGGATCTAGGAGCATCACAGTGCAGGGACCCTCCTGGCTTTTAATTCTTGGTGGCAGTGTGTACTTGTCTCTGCTCATTTCTCTCTCCTTTTATATCTCAAAAGAGATTGACTCAAGGTACAACCTAACCCTATATATTGCATCTGTCTTCATTAACAACATAGGATTGAGGATTTACAATACATCACATCAGCACTAATCACTTAGGACCAAATCTGGAGGGTAATTACATCATATTAGATTCATCATGGAGGTGATAAGTACATTTTAACTGCTAAGCCATTGAGAATGCTGGTGCAGCCAATTTGGCAACAACAACAACAACAAAACCTTAGTTATCACATACAATAAATAGAGCTTTCATATATTTTCAGTGATATCAGTTATGTGTATTAGATTGAGGAGAATTGATTCATATGCTTATAGGTACATTAAAGCCAAAATTTAAAACCACACTAAGTTTTTGGTAGTTCCATGCTTATTTTGGAGACCTAATGATGCCACCTACTGGAGTTCTGGTGTGGCGCTATGGGTTAATGCTCCAGACTGCAAAAGCCGTTTGAATTGCAAGGTTGGCCATTCAAGCTCACCAGCTGCTCCTTGGAAACCCTATCCATAGTCGCTATCGGTCAGTATCAACTCGATGGCACTTAACAACAACAACAAAAACAATCACTAGGAGTCCTGGTGTGGCACTATAGGATAAGCACTAGACTGCTAACTTTAACATCAGTGGTTCAAACCCATCAGTCACTCCAGAAACCCTAAAAAGGATCTCTATGAATTGGAATCAATTCTACGGCACTTAACAGCAATGACTATTAGAAATCACTCACAACTTGCTTGTTTTCTGAGAAAGAGTCGGAATCGGCCTAGATATGTGAATTATCTGAGCACTCTATGCTGAGCAAATGCTTTTGTGATTAAAGAACTGGTTATGCTAGATCCCAAACTCTCTCTTACCCTCATTTTTCATAAAATGAGGGTAGTATGAGTTGAATAGCTACTTCTCAGGGTTGCTTCGAACATTAATACAACTCACGAAACCTTTTTTATTAAGAGTTTCTAGCTCTAGTAGCGTAGTGGTTATGAATCGGGCTGCGAACCTTAAGGTCAGCAGTTCGAAACTACCAGCCACTCCGCAGAAGAAAGACGAGGCTTTCTGCTCCCATAAGGATTTACACCCTCGGAAACCCTGTACAGGGTCGCTATGGGTCGGAACCGACTCAAAGGCACATAACAACAACAACAGCAACAACTATTCGTAGTATTTTGAAACAAAACCAAAGATTGTTT